TAGTTTTTTTATAATAAATTTTGTGCAAGGTGATTTTTTTAAAATGTGATTAAAAAGAAAAGAAAAGTTATGTATCAACATGCAAAATATTTTATTGAGAGAATAAGTGATTGCATATTAATTTAAAAAATTAGTTTTAAAGAATCTGTATCAAATACGGACTTACGAAAACACCAATTATATCGTGTTTATCGCATTACAATTTCTCATCGGTAGACTCCATTCTCCTATAAGTATCAAGTAAAAAGAGAAAGGTAAGGATAGTCACTTTTGATTTTCAAATTAACAATATATTTCCACTTTTGAATATCGACTTAAATCATAAAAGAAACACAATTTACCATTTTTTGTAGAAACTTGGAGAGTAGTAGTGTGGCAAAGCTTAGGGAGTAAATTCTAATTATATTTTTGGAATATGATATGTCGGCGTTATTCACATGAATCTACATAAAATTGAGTGACAAGAAGAAAGAGGTAGGCATTAAGTTCAATTCAAAGAAACCACTGCAGCACTACCCTCCTATGTTTAGTGAGGAGTAAGTGGAGGATCGAGAACCTTCCCAAGAAGAAGCCATCCCCATTTCTCATGATGTTTTACTAAAAAGGGTTGAGGAAGATCAAGAAGAAAATGTATCACCTCATCCTAAGTCCACGATAAGAAAATGAGGAAACTCGAGGGAAAAGAAGATTGCAGTATCCCACCACCATTGATGAATGATGATGTCAAAATCCAATGAATATTCAATTATACTATTTATACATCAAGGTTGACACTCCGAATGACACCCTCTCACAAAAGGGGGCTCGCGATTATTTTATTATGCGCGGACCTCCTCATGTGAGAGCGTGTCAATCCCGAATATACAAGTTGCTTAATTGGTGAATATTTTTCCAATGGGAGCACCTCCCTAAAGGATACACAAATTCACAAACCGTACTTTTTCAAAATAAATCATTAGAGTATTTAGAGATATTAGATAATAATGTGTTGATGTGTGAATTCTTAGTGTTGGGACAATTCACACCAAACTTAGTGGAAATGAGAAAACAAGAAGAAAGATAAAAACACGAATTAAATATGATTCGGCAAACTACCACAACCACATGAAAATAATTCTTTATTAGTTGTTAAAATCACAAGGTCCCTGTTTGATTTACATTTTTCTCAAAATTCATTGTTTTAATACTTATTTTCAATCATACATTTTTTAATAAAGTAATATTATACGCAAATTTTAATTTTTTTTATTTTTTAATAACATATTTCTCATCACATCACATCACATCACATCATAAAATATATTTTTCTTCTCAATAATGTGCATCAAACACCCCCACGGTACAATATTCTCGAAGTTAAAAAAATAAATGTATAAAAATAAATAAGATGGTAAATGTGAATATTTTAATCTCGTAGTCTCTGTCCCTCTCTTCGACCGCCCCACCTGCCTCATCCCCTCTAATTGGCCATAGCCTCTTTCGAGCTCCATAAAAAAATAAAAAAGGACAAATTGGTATCTAACTTGGTCATCCGTCAACCTCATTCTCACTGGTGAAAGGGAGCGGTTCAACGGCAGTATTTC